CTGGCAAAGTGCTTCACTACATTAAAACAAATCAAGACATAAAATGTAGATACTTAATTCAGCAGGACAGATGAAGGTCAAGAATCTTCTGAGATAAAATACTGTCCGGCGAAGAGACAAAGAGCAGTTTGACTGCTTAAACATGCACTGTACAACAAACCACACACACCCTGTTAGACAGCAGAGGAGAAAAGGACTGCTGGAAGGCGTCGATATTGACTCAGCACATACAAATGAGACAGTAATGCTAGTTAGTGCAACATCCAACAAACAGGAAACCCTGCTAAATATATTGATTTACACTTACAAGATTATTACGGCTAAAAAAATGCACGTCTTTAGCACCTAAGTCTCGTTTGTACTGTCTGAAGGTGCTGCTATCATCTAGAATGAAGTTATTTGCTTATTTTGTCTGGCATATTGATATCTTGATGACATTTAAATTCAGATTAGGTTGTGAATTTCATTTTTATTATGAGATGTGATTTACATACCATTGCAGCTCCTTTCTGTTCACACTAGCAGTGTGAGTGCTGATTAATCCTGAATTCTTTGACACAAGCGCAAATTTACAGGACCCACGCTGTTACCAATTAAAGCTCATTTATTTGAGCCAGATTCCCTTCAGTCTTTCTTGTCAATTAGCACTGCCAGAACCCACCTCCACAACACATCAGAAAGCGCCCTTATCCTATGTTGCTCACGGTAAAAAAAAAAAAAAAAAGTGGGAAATCTGTCATTAACCTCATCATTTGCCTACCATCGATGATTGCATGCTGAACTGTGAATAAGCAGCAGAAACAATATCCCATATTTGTGTAGGCTTAATCACACTGCTGTAGATAATTATATAGGAGAAAATTCATGTGAAATAATAAAAAGAGGCACATTTACAGAGAGCTACGTTTCTAAATATCATATATGCATCTTAATAATTCACATGTGTATGACATCCAGTGTATGACATCCAGCATATTACAGCAGCATGGAGACTTAATGAATAAATCTCAAGGACCCTTAAATCTCAAGTAACTTTAATATGCAAATTAAGCATGAATTATGATGGTCTCTTACAATTTGGTATTTTAGACCATAATAGGATTAACCAAAATATATGAGAAGTTGTGCAATATTAAGGGCACAGAATGGACAATACTAGAATTTACTGCACAATACTGTTTACTGTGAAAGCCTGTTTCCACACTCTTTAAAATACGGGTTCCATATTTGATTCCATGATAATGATTTTAAAACTCTAAAGAACCTTTTACGACCTTTTCTCGTCCTATGGAAAGGTTCTACACTCTTAAAAATAAAGGTTGCAAAATTGGTTTTCACAGTGATGCCGTAGAAGAACCAGTTTTGGTTCCCCAAAGACCTTCTCAGAGAACAGTTCTTAGAAGAACCATTTTTTCCAGTCATTTGTCCCTATTCAAGAACATTTGAACAATCTAAAGAACCTTTTCCACTATAAAGAACCTTCAGTGGTTCCATGGATGTTAAAGGTTCTTCATGGAACCATAGATGCCA